GACCAAGGTACGAGCATTGTTTTAATAATTTATTCAATATTCATAATTAATATTAGTATAAGATTTTTAATGATATTTCCAATAATTTTATCATTAGTATTTTTAAATCACAAGATAATATTTATATGAATTTATAAATGTTTATGAAATTTATTTATAGATTAGTAATTGTGTGCATGTCTTCATGTTTAGTCCATAGTGTATGGAATAGAGTTCATTTGAAGTACAAAATACTATTTTCTTGTTAAGAAAATATGTTTTCTTGTTCAATTCTCTTACGAAAAATATATCAATTAAAAATTAATTTACATTAAGATCCATAAATTGCTAAATAAATGTAATATTTAAATTCAAGACAATTTGTTACAAACAAATGATTCATTTTTATAAATACTGTATTAATATAGCAAACCAAAATTAAATTTAAAAATTATAAATTAAATAAAAATTAAAATAATATTATTTATAAAATTAATAAATAATTGGTATTATATCTTTTATTAAAAAATGGTTTAGATATTTAAAAATTTATGTGTTAAATTAGTAATTAAAGCACGTATAACTATAAAATATAACTTGATTTATTAAATCATATAAAATTATTATTTAAAACTCAATGTTTAGTCTGAAATAAACGAAGACAAAGCCCTACGCCTGCAGATAGCTGTGTGCGGGTCTGTCATCATATTCCCGGTGCTAATGGTGTTCGCCATTGAGATACACCCCATAAGCGCGTCCATCGCCTGCACGCTATACTCAATTGTGTTTCTCAAGTTAGTCTCCTATCATATGGTGAACTACTGGTGCCGATTGGATCGCAAAACTAATCATCACAATAGAGTTAGACGTAAAAGTAGTGACAATTTGACGGTTCCTAATATGGAGACTATTATTCTCAACAATATTGGCCACAATCATCATAATAATACTAATGTTAAAAATAATAAAAATGGTGATAAGGTGTTGAATGGCCAGGCACAAACTAGGCCACTAGTCGAATACCCCGATAACTTGACATATAGAGATTTATACTACTTCATGGCCGCTCCTACTCTATGCTATGAACTTAATTTCCCGCGAAGTGAACGCATACGTAAACATTTGCTCATTAAAAGGCTCATTGAAATGGTCATTAATTTTAAATTAAAAAGGATAATTTTTGTGAAATTAATAGCAATGTATTCATTCAAAATTTCAGATATTTTTAGTGCAGCTAAATATGGCGCTAATCCAGCAGTGGATTGTTCCCACTATTAATAACTCACTGAATCCGCTCAAAGAAATGGATTACCCCAGAATGTTGGAAAGGCTGCTCAAATTAGCGGTATGAACAAGCACTCAATTTGATATGCATTCACATTAACATGCCCTTGCCACTGCAACTACCCAGGTGCCCAACCACTTTATTTGGCTCATATGGTTCTACTGGTACTTTCACTCCACTCTCAACTTCATGGCTGAAATACTAAAGTTTGGTGACAAACAGTTTTACCGGGACTGGTGGAACTCAGAAAGTGTCGAGTACTTCTGGAAAAACTGGAACATACCCGTCCACTCGTGGGCGGTAAGGCATCTATACAAACCTCTACTACACAGCGGCTACAGTCGCTACAGCGCCGGTATTGTCGTGTTTTTTGTGTCGGCCTTCTTTCACGAATACCTGGTGTCTGTGCCGTTGAAAATGTTCGGCTTCTGGGCCTTCGGTGGGATGTTATTTCAGATCCCATTCGCTATGTTTGTCAGCAAATACCTGAACGGGTCGGCCGCCAACACTGCTGTCTGGATATCCCTAATCATTGGACAACCTCTTTGTATACTCGCCTGTTATCACGATTACTACGTTATACATCATATCATCTATTAATTGATAATTGATGTGCTCTTATATTTTATATTTTCACTCAATTTATAACTATTTAATATACAATATGTTATCGTTTATATATACTTTGTATATTTGTGTTTAGTCTTTACTTTTATATGATTTAATCATTATTTTTATTAGTGATATAAAATAAATAGATTTAATAAATTAATTAAGTATCAATGACTTATTTACTGACTGAAATTGTATAAAGATAATAAAACAACTACTGTACAGATTGTAAGTTTCCCAAAAGTACTGTACAACTATGTAATAATCATTTACAACACACATTAACTTTCACATGATAAACAGGATCAATAATTTCAGAATATTATAATTACTAAGATTATTATTAAGTAGAGAATAATATACGTATTTACTTATACATATAACTTTTTTAAAATAATTAAAATATATTTAATGATGACATCAATTGAATCGATAATTAGCGCAAATACTTACGGTGACAATGAAAATGCGTTTTTCATACTAAATGTGGAGGAATTGCATATTAAACACCAGAAATGGTTGCAATGTCTGCCACGTGTTCAACCATTTTATGCGGTTAAAGCTAATAATTTGAAATTAATTTTGAAAATACTCGCTAATATGGGACTAGGATTTGACTGCTCGAGTCAGGTAATCACTCCCATAAAAGAGTCGAAAATTAAAAATTAAAAACTTGACCAAAAGAGTGAAGTGGAGGCTGTAATGGACTGTGGGGTGAGCACCGATCGTATGATATTTGCCAATCCGTGCAAATCTAGCGCACAATTACGTTACACTCAATCGATTGGACTAAAGTTAATGACATTTGACAACGAGATAGAGCTGACCAAAGTGTCGGCCCTCTATCCCAACGCACAACTCGTACTGCGAATCAAAACAGACAACACGTACTCGACGTCCAAATTAAGCCTTAAGTTTGGCGCCGGTGTTGAGGAAGTGGAGTCCCTATTATGCAGAGCTAAATGTCTCGGACTTAATGTTGTCGGTAGTTATCATTATATAAAATTTTGAACTTCTAATAAGCATATTATAAACAATTTATTCTTTACTATCTAAATTAATCGTAAGTATTATACTAATTTAAGTGATAATAATGCACCAATTGTATTGTAATTGTTTGGCACAATGTTAGCAAATAACCTAAATTATACCTACAATTGAGTATAACTTATATGAAAACAGGCATTGCATTTCATGTGGGAAGTGGATGTCAGAAGTCGGAGCCATATATCGATGCAATAGAGAAGGCGAGACAAGCGTTTGACACGGGATTGAGTCTGGGCTTCAATATGACTGTACTGGACATTGGGGGCGGGTTTGTAGACAGTCCACAGTTGGCTAAACTGCCCTTCGAGACCATCACCAGCGATATTAATAGAGCGTTGGACCGGTATTTCCCTTTGGACAGTGGGCTGACCATTATAGCGGAACCGGGAAGGTTTTACACGATGACTGCAATGGATATATGTGTCCAAATTACGTCCAAACGGGTCGTACTCAGTGATGAGGAACGGCTCATCATGTATTACATCAACGATGGATTGTATGGATCATTCAGTTTTGTAACAACTGGCCACCGGTTGGTACAGCCGTTCCCTGTGCTAAAAGAGCCCTCAGATGTAGAGTCACGCCAGAAATGTCTGTCCGTCATATGGGGTCCAACGTGTGACAGCTATGACTGCGTGCGGACTGAGCACCGGATGCCTGAATTGTTTGCCGGCGAATGGATTCGTTTCAAAGACATGGGATCCTACTCTATATGCGCCGCCTCTGCCTTCAATGGTATGCCGGCCCCCAAAATGATACTTTTCATCACAGATTTGGCTTATAATTGGTTGGAAGAAATGCATAATTGGACTCAAATTGAAAGTCTTCTCAATAATTATAAAAACTGTAATAATGTGTTGGAATTGATATAAGTTTCTCACTTAATACCGTAAAAGTCTTATTAATCGCACAGTACAGTACAGTATACTTTTTATCTCTTATTTTGACACTAATTTTGTTAGCATTAAGAATAAGTTAAGTTTCACTAAGTTTTAGTTATAAGATAAACTAATTTATTTACGTATTATTTTTAAATAAATTAATTTTAGTTTTAATAATAAACCAATGAAATATTATATACAGTATTTATCAAGTAATTCAACCATTTATAAAAAAAATTCTAAAATTATTATTAATAAAATATTTAGCAAAACGGTTCAGTCTTTAAATTAAATGCAATGTCTATACAAATTGTATAATACAATATACTACCTATTTAAAGTAATTCAACCATTTATAAAAAAAATTCTAAAATTATTATTAATAAAATATTTAGCAAAACGGTTCAGTCTTTAAATTAAATGCAATGTCTATACAAATTGTATAATACAATATACTACCTATATATAGCAATTGTTGAGATTGTAAGAGATTGAAATTAAAGTGATATATTTATATAAGCAAAATTTAAATTTTGTGATTCAAGTGTTTATAATTAATGTATTAATTAAAAAATACCATATTTTGTGTGATTATAATTGTGAGATATGATACATGTATATATTAAAATGAAGTGCATAAACTATTTTCTCACATGTTTAATGGTGACAAATGCTGCATTTGTATGGTCAGCATCCAACTGGACAGGAATCAAACAATGCGATCCTAATTATATGTTCAAATGGGTGGCTGACATCAAGACATAGGTGCTAACTGTAAAAGTGATGGTTCGCACACTAGGATGGGTCGGGTTTGGACTGTCCACTTATGGACAGATGCCACGAAGTGATGTTATCATTGGTTGGGTCGAAGGTGGCACCGGTAGGACTATATTTCATGTCAGTACTCGTGTACTTTAATTATGAATACGTTTGTTAACGCTGATGTTTTAAATATTAAAATAAAATACAAACTAATATTTGGCAAAACTACAGGACCGGTGGACAGAAAGCAAATCAATACCAGTAATTGACTCGAAGCAGGACTGGTATCTTATATCTGGTGCCGAGAATGGCACGCATACGACACTAGTATTTAAGCGGTCCTTTAAGTCGTGCGATGAGAGTCAGGATTTGGAGGTGACGGACAGTATGTTGAACATTGTGTGGGCCTATGATTACGACGACCCCATCGATGAGCTAACTGTTAGCAAGCATTACCGCAAAGGATCGGTTGATATGCAACTCATACAACCTATGGTCTGGGATGTGCCACAAGAGACTGATTTGCAAGTATTAGACTTTATGGTCGCCAATGTATGTCTCAATTATCATCAATAATACAACACTAATCTACTTATCAATATTGTACTCTTTAACAAATTATTTATTTGACTAGCTAACTTTGCCACTCATAGCCGAGGTCTATTTTTTCAAAATATTTAAAATCCAATTTCATGATTGAGACAAACAGTGAAAGTAAGCATTATTTGTCCTTGCTACAGTTTACTTCAATAAAATAATTATAATAATTCATATTTGTAACTAAGTTTCGTACATTGACCTGGCCACAAACAAAACACCGTCACCTTCATCACACGACACTGCATTTGTGTGAACACCCGCATCCATCCCAGTTGGACAAGTACTTGGACAGGGAGCCCATGCAATATACAGAATTAGACTTCCCCATGGACTTGCAATATTGTCAAAAGTTGGTATTCGTTACCGACTCGGATAATGGCGTGTATACGACACCGGCTGTGGGGGGCTTTCCCATAGGCCTCCCACTCACCAGTACTATATGATGTCATTTCATGTAATTAACCCCAAACGGGAACGGGTGGTACTGTCGCACGCGTTTCGCATGTGGCACACGAGCCAACTCCGCAAATATGACATGGATTTGCTGTGTATGGGCTCAGCCCTGTTGAACGGATTCATTATACCGGCCCATCAAACACAGTTCACCATTTCACACCGATGTAACACTTACTGCATTGACCGGGTATTTCACATTACTCTTATATCTTTCTCGACTCACTAAACTCACATTTTGACAATATTTATCCTGAACATTTAAAATGTGTAGTAGTTTGAGACACTACATTGTGTTATACCATAATAGGATTACTTTTATATATCTATTTGATTGTAAGCAATAATTATGTTTAAAGGTGAATATGATTACAATACGTACACAACATTAACACTGAATTATCACTCATTAACAAAAGTGCTGTCATATTGTAGGCAATGCCGAGCACCGGTATTTATTTGGATTCTGTGGCACCACATATGCACTCAACAGGTATTTCAATGCAATCTATTCATAAGATTCTTATATTAATCTATATTTTCATTGCAATAATAGGCAGAAAAATGGTTGTCCGACACGTGCGTCATAACCGCGAGTTGGAGCACATCCTGGAGCACCCGTACATGGATTACGACCATACGGTCAATATTAAATTCAAACGTCCTGTCCATATATTACCCGGTGATATCATATCGATTGAGTGCACGTACGAAACCAGTGGCCGGAACTGGACTACAATGGCGTCTATCTATAAGAAAAATGAGATGTGTTTTGCCACCTTTTATTACTACCCCTACGTTAGGGATGTGCCGTCCGCTTGTCTTAATAGACTGTCATACGAGGCACTCTTGAACATATCTGGCCTCCAGGAGCTCGAAGGGTAGTAATGCTATAGATTTATAAATATATTAATAAATATTTAGAGATAAGTTTAATAGAGTTTAATTGATAGTATGTAGTTTTAATGTTTAAATGAGTTAAACTAATATGGGTTTGGAATATAGACTATATGGATGGGCCAGTGCAGAATAATTAATTAAGAGCAATACCATACAATTTACCACAAAATATACATTATAGAAAACATGGTCAACTTGTCAAATAATTTATCTATTTGTATATCTCTTTAGTTATGAACAAAACTACCAAAACATGATAATCCGACGACCAGTTCAATACAACAACACATTACTACCCGATTATATCAGAGCCAAAAAGGATTGGATGTCAGCCGAAGAGATCCAAAATATTATACTAAACAGTGATAACCGGATGGAGTGTTATATAGTTCCGAGAACCGATGGTATGCCCCCGAGTATTATTAGCTCGCTTAATGGGGTCACCAAATGGCAATCACCCGCTAAACAGTGTATAAATAATCTCATTTTAAATAACACTGATTACCCTGGTTATCAGCATTCGCTTAAAAATGGGAAAATGTCACTTAATTTTGCTCTTATGAAAGACAAGCAATGTAAATCCCGTTGCATGCTATGGCCATTTTGTTTTGATTATTTGCGCTTTAAATTAGACATGTCATTTTCTTATTAAATGAATAAAACAAAAAAAGTTGATTGAAATGGTGAGCAAAAAGAGGCACCACCGAGATTCGAACTCGGGATCTCCTGTTTACTAGACAGGCGCTTTAACCAACTAAGCCATGGCGCCACCACTCACTGAACCCGACTTAGCCAAACACACACTCAATTTGCTGCTAACATAGAGCGCATCAATCATTCATAAACCGCTGCTCTAAGTCTTCATCTGTTTTTCATTCATTATGTCTTATCGTCTTATCTTAATCTCAGGTATTATACAAAAGCATACATCATAATCAAACATTGTAATCAAAAATACTACTGTATAATTTATAAACCAATATACAGTATAGTTTTATTTGCACATTTAGTCGATAGTTGTTATAATAGTTGTTACAATAGTTAGAGTTAGTAACTTTGTATCTTAATTTAGAAACATTGAATTCATAAAATAAATACAATTTCTAGATTTTTATTGAAGTTCAAACATCTCTCGAAGCAGACTATGGCTCACTTTTGATGGGTCTATGGAAAGAAAGTTATTGCGCAAAGTAAGACCCAGGTTCTTTAAGTTGACCAGTGTTTGTAGTAAGTTTGCACATTTCTGCTGCCAATCACTTTGAGATCCGTATTTGATTAGTAAATATCGTTGAAGTATATAAACGTAAATTTGTTGATAAAGTCTATTTAATGATAAAATATGTTTAACCAACAATTTATAACATATTGTTCACTCACTTAATCACATTTCTATGCATAAGATTAGGTCGATTTGGGTTAAATAGTATGATTGCTGTCAACTAAAATAAACAATGATTTGAAACAAAAGCCAACTGCATAAATGAATTAAGTGTAAATTATACCAGGTCAAGTATTACTAAATCATAATCCCAATGGTTGAAGAAATTGTTGATAAATAACTCGAAAGAGTTGTAAAAATTGAGTCGATGACCCTGCCACATATTTAGTCCAATTATTACCAAATGCTGGTTATTCTGTTATTATGAATTGTGCAAGTACAATGATTAGTGTAATACATAGAAATGGTGACAATGGATAAGACTACAGACCACATGGAAAGACCAGAAGTGTTCGTTGATATTGTATTTAGTGAGCGATCGCAACAGAAACAGCTCTAAACACGAGGACTTAATCAACGATATCCTATCGGTTTCGCAAATACTGTTAAACTCCGCCAAGTTTTTACACATCTTGATCTGCCGTCTGATATGTCTGTCCAAAAGGTTGGGTCTATTCTCCAACAACTGGTTGACATCCCTGAAGGTGACCGCCTGTACGGTCATCGGTATTAATCTCTCACTGAAACACTTGTTTGCATTCAACAGTTCCCCCAATTTATTGGCTTCAGATTCATTAAACGTATTATGATTTGCAATGCGATAGTCATACGTAGTTATAGTGACCACTGTATAATCATTATCTTTATTTTTATGATCATCTAAATCCTTATTAACGGGAACTGGTGTATTCAAAACAGTCCCTTTGTCTGACCATATGTTTTCTCGTATCTCAATATCATGATTAGTTTTTGTGCTCATATTTCTATTTAAATGACTCAACTTTTCGCACATCTTTTTCATTGAATGACATTTTCTAATTTTTTTTAATTCGTTCGTTACTATCCATTCCTACCAAATAATAATTATTAGATAAAACAATTTAAACTAAAATATAAGTTATACCTTTCTCATTCCTAATGTAAAGCACTTATTTAGCCGACATTTGGTGCAGAATCTGCGTGAAAACCGATCGATTGGACACATATTATTGTGAAGACATGTCATTTCCTAAAATAACAATAATTATTCAATATATTCATCAAAATAAATACTGCATTCATTATTGTTACTACTGGCAAAGGGTGACAAATTTCCCTTAAATTGTTATAAAAATATTTAAAAAATGATATATGATAATATAATTACGATGGTGAAAGTATGACTTACTTTTTCCTTGAAAGCGTTTCTCATAAAAAAGTTTTTACAAGAAAGACAAGATTGTATGCCATAATTTTTGCCTAAATTCGTAAATAAGGGACAATTGGAAAAATAATAAGATTTAATAGAAATTAACATATATTTTTATTATGTGAACATATACTATATATTTTATACTTTAAAATTACCTTAAACTTAAGGTTTGCTATTTTTAAATAAATGTTAAACAAATCTAAGTTACAATATATTTACCTCTAGCCGTATCGCCACATACGAGACACTTGGTATTACACATAATATTAGTATGAATGGACCAATTGATTTACACAAAAATTAATAGTAAATACTTAAATGTTTAATAACAATTTTTTGGTAGTTTTAATATGTTAGTAACTAAATTTTAGTTATTCCAAATTCAATATCCACAAATACAACTGCATACTAAACTATCAATACATGTAAATATATTTCTCAATACTGTATTTTATAGAAAATAACACATTAATAAGAATATTTCCAACAGCAATTTTATGTATAATATACATAAAATCTGTTAATTAAAATGTTATTGAAAAAATAGGATATGGAATACTATAATCAAATAAAAATATTTAAAAAATAAATTAAAAATAATATACTATGCAGTATTATGATTAAACAATGTTCTCAAAATGCAAAAGTGGTGGTACGATGTCATGGAGTTGACTGATAAGGCACAATACAATACAATTTAATTGTTACTGGTACAATGTTTTAGAGTATTTTTGTGTTCAGTTCCATATAGTAAATATTGCCTTGAGTACAATTACAACACAAGTACTCAAACGATAAATCAATTCTAGCAAAAACATATGCTGGATAATATACACAATTTAGCAACTAAGTTGTTTTTATTCAAGTGTAATAAATATTTTTAAATCATTCTAAATGTACAGGTAAAATAATGTATTGAATATGTTGCTATACATTTTTAAATATAGTTGATTAATACCATGTATAATATCATGTACAATAAATGCACCTAAATTATTTAACTGAACTTGCGCTTTCTTTAAATGATTACAAAATGGGCTCAACGAGAGTGGAGTTGTCGACTGATTTACTTGTCAGACAGGAACACCAGGGCTTCTGAATCGGGATACTATGGCACCACCAATGCACTGGTATTTCCTCTAGCAATGAAAGGCCGTACTTAAGACTAGTATCGGGTTTACCGGCGATGATGTGTTTGAGAGTGGCGTGAATGGCGAGGGTACTGTGCTGGATATTACTACCTGTATTCCAGACTGACCAACTGTACACTATTTGGGTGTACAGTACACTATTTGGGTATTTGTGCACTGTGTTTTAAGATCGAAATAGTGTACAATGAATGTACACTATATGTGAAAATATATAAAAATACATATTAGTTAGAAAAATACTATACATACCATTTACATTTCTAATTTTATTTTTAGTGTATTTAATATAATTTTAATGGTAACCGTTTGAAACAATTAAAATTTTGCATAAATATGTAGAATATTTTTAAATGTTAACTATTTAAAAATAATATAATGCTATATAAACTATATTGTATTAACAAATAGACCAATTTAAAAATCCATTGAGTTGAAAGTTTAGAGAAATCTGTATTTAATAAATAAAATTAACGTAAATTACTTTAATAATGAGAAAAAATATTTATTTTTATTGTCAATTAAAATATTATTATAAATTTTACATTCAAAAGATTAACTTAAACAAAATAGTAATTTAAATCCACGATAAAAATTAATGTACTGTACACTATTTTATCAACTATTTTTGATATTTGTACACTATCTGAAAAACCAGAGTTGGCCAGCTGCCGGTAGTAGTAATTGTCTATTACAGGTGTAATTAAGGTAGTTTAAACACTCATTTTGTTATTTTCTTAGAATATTATCATTTTTATTGTTGATGTACCTTGAATCATACTGTATAATTATAATTTTCAATATTTATATCTTTTTATTTAATATTATAACAATAAAAATCATGATGATTAATTAAAATAAAATATATTATATTTATAAACTTTATATACCAAACGCGAATGATTATAGTGCTACTAAACTTATTTAACTATATTTAATATACAGTTCTATTTATTCTTGTATTAGCATTAGTATTCTTGTATTGTGGTTATACTGTCGTAGTGTATAAAACACATTTTTAATAAAAGTATATTTATAATATTAAAAAGTATTTGGATTTTTAAAACTGACAAGTAAATTGCATTCTTGACTTGTGATATATCATAATGTGGTTTTCCCACATTATTTGCAATTAAACAGACACTATGTATCTTTCAACACATTACATTTAATTGGACCCTATTTAATGTATTGCAGTGAATGTATCATCAACTTACTATTTTTTAAACATTTAATAATTATTATCTTTTTAAACTAATTATTATTAATTCCACACTTTAGAAAAGTCTTGATATTTATGTTTAATTTCCAAAAAATGAAATTATAGATTGTGATAAGGCTCCTGTGTTATTCCCTTCATAACAAACTTTCCCACCAAATACGTACGTATTTATTGAATGTCCCCTATAAATGCCGCAGTTTATAACACACCGATAACCCATCCCTTGGGCATAAAACACTTGTTTTTGGAAAAAATGTTAAGCTATTTATTTAGAGTATATACATTTTGTATAATCTGCGGTCTCTGAAAATGGCATATAAAAGGTCAGACCGACTGTTAGTGGTAAGGGATCCGAGGCGACAGACATACACAGACGTATAGACTGTTAGATTTAATCGACTCCTTAAATGCTAATTTATATGAATTTTTTGTCATTTTATACGATATTTATTATAATACAAATCATACATTTTTATTAGCATTTTTGCACAAATATTTTCATATGAATAACTAAACTGTATATTATGTAAAATATAATGATAATTTACTTTTACGTAACTTTAGAATTTGAAAATAAATTTAATTTGAAAGTTTGTTGAAGTTGCAAAATATAACTTTCTCATACTGCATTTAATAAACCATATATTTTATAGTACTAAATGTGTTATAATTATACCATATCATGGCACTTATTCATATCCACATTTAATTTATAAAATAAATCATATATTATTTTATTAATCAAAATACTAACATTATTATTAAATTCCTTATTTTTAAAAATTATTACTAGATAAATTTAATTAATCAAATAAACAAATTAGATCAGATGAACAAATTTTATTTTATATTTATTAATTGATATTCACAAACAAAATAATATCTATAAAAATACGTTAGTATTATATACTAATCGTAATAATTTTATTTATAATACAATATTTACAACAATTAATTAAATATATTTGTGCCGACACTTAGGATTTATATAATAATAATGATTATTATAAAAAAATAAAACACATTCAACGCTGAAAATGTGTATAAAAGTAATGAAAAAATGTATTAAAAATTTGTACAAAAATACTCATGTTTTCTCTCATATCTAAAAATATTATAAATTAAAATTAATTATATACTAATCCCATAATAAACGTTACAAAAAACATTGATTACTCAAAATCATTAACTAATCGATAACACAATGATTGCATTTTATTTGCTTTAAATGCAACTACTTTATGTAAAACAAATTGTTTGCCTAAACAGGACAAAAAGTGGATTTAAAAATAAGTATATGACCCATTAACCGGGCTAACCATACAGGCAGTCATATAATATGATAAAACACTTCAATCAAATAAATATAGAGACACTCAACGAGAGAGTTGAGCACAAAAGCACCTAGATGTGACCAGATGATAACTAATTCTTGGAGATAAATGCCATGACCCTGATCCTGTTGACATTGCCGATGTAGAAGAGCATGAACTTGCCTGGCTCAGGCTCCTCTATGGAATAGCCAAAGTTCTGTCCGATAATACACGACCAAACCTCGCGGTACTTCTTCTCGATCATACGGCACATATGGTCGGCCGCCTCGTCGTAGTCGTCGCCATACTTGGCCAGCCCTTCGCTGGCGAACTCAATGGCGTCAGTTTGCATGTGCTCCGGCATCTCCACGATGTCGAAGTTGGTCCTGAATTTACGCAACTTTTCGTGCCTTTTCTGCCGTAATATACGCCACCGAAGTAGTCGTGTACTCAACGAGGATGATGTGTCCGACGCGTCCGCCGAACCCTCAACCCCTTCCCCTCCGTTCCCATTCGTGTCTCCATTCCCTTCCGAACAGTCTGTCAATGATTAAGACATTCATCATTACATTCATTATTTGAATTTTTATA